TGATAAGTATAGTAAACGTATACACAGTATGCTCACAACCATCACACTCCATCCTCTTAAACAGCACTAAAGCATCGGCTATCCTCCCACACTTACAAAGTCCATCGATGAGCGCATTGTAGCAATATGAATCCGGCAGACACCCCTTCTCAGCCATTTCATCAAACACCTTCTCAGCTTCATCCACCCTTCCCGCCTTTCCAAGTCCATCAATCAAACTAGAATAAAAAACAGCATTGACAACAACAGCATTCTCATTACAAAACCGAAAATAACCCAAAGCTTCCTCTAGTCTCCCACTCTTACATAACCCATTAACAATAGCACCATAAGTAACCTCATCAGGCTCAATCCCATCCATTTTCATCCTCTCAAACAACCTTAAAGCCCCATCAGAATTCCCACTCTTCCCATAACAATCAATCAAAGCAGTGTAAACAGCCTTATTACCCTTACAACCATTTCTAAGTATATTCTCAAACAAAGCATAAGCTTCTAAAACCTTCCCCGTCTTACAAAGCCCGCATATGAGCAAAGTATAACAATGAGAAGGAACTTGAAATCCCTTATCCTCCATCTCATGGTAAAGACTCAAACAACAATCAACATCCCCTTCAGAATAACAAGCCTGCATTATTGTCATATAAGTAACAACATCAGGCTCCAAATTAATTACCTCCATTTCGCGAACCATCTCGGTCGCCTTTCGTGTTTTCCCAATCTTACAATACCCTTTGATCAAAGTATTGTAGGTTACAACATCAGGCTTTATTCTTCCTTCTTTCATGGCGACAAAAACACGCTCGGCCGATTCGATAAAAGAGGAACCAACGAGTCCGTTAAGAAGGGAGTTGTAAGTGAAAAGAGTCGGGTGGATGTTTTGTTCGTTCATTCCACGCCAAACTAATAGAAGTTCATTGACCAGGCCGGCGTTACCGAAGCTTTTGATGAGGGAGTTGGCGGATGGGGATGTTAAGGGGAGGCGGCTACGTTGAAGTTCTGCAAAAACATTTAATGCGGCGGAGGTGGTGGTGGTTGAGGGGGATAGGAGTAGGTTGATTAGTGAAACGTAGCAATCGAGGGAATGTGAGTAGTTACGTTGGTGGGAAGCCCAGGTGAAGAAACGGAGGGCGGTGTGGTGGTTGTTGAGGGAACGGAGAGCGTGGGCGACGAAGGAGGGGGAGAGAGTGATGAGAAATTGGCGGCAGAAGGAGTCGAGATTTGATTCCATGGTTGGGGAATTGTCGAGGAGGTTGAGGATTTGTGTGAACCATGGAGAGGGCTGGAGGTTTTGTTTGGAGGAGATGACGTCGGAGAGGTCGCAGAAAGGTTCGACGAGTTCTGGGGGAGGGAGAGGTAGGGTTTTGAAGGAGCGGGAGAATGAATTGGCATTGTGGTGGTGCAGGGGAAAGGAGAAGTGGATGTGTGTGATTGAAGGAGAAGGTTGTTTCAGTAGCAGACAGGAGATTCTTCTCATCACTCCTCCGGGTTTGGTTGATTTTCGAATGAGAATAACCGTTTCCCCTGATTCTGCCACTTTATTATATCATTTCCCCCTCTAATACCTCCATTGTCTTTCATATTATTTCTAGGCTAAATAATCATTTTGCTGGGAATTCTAAAAAATCCTTAAGATAATCAAGAAACAAAACAGGATAAATTATATTTTAATTTTAAACTTTTTTAAAGGTTTTGGGTGCGACGGTTGTTTTACCGTCGTGAAATGAATTTTAGGACGGATAATTTTACCGTCGTGAAAGGTTTAAGGGTGCGACGGGTGCTTTACCGTCGTGATATGCCTTTTAGGACGGTTAATTTTACCGTCGTGACTAGTTGTTGGTAAAAAATCAATGTTAAAAGTGTTAAATGGGGGCCGACGGTTGTTTTACCATCGTAATAATAATATTATGATGGTTAAATATACCGTCGCAAAATAAATATTAGGGACGGTTGGTGTCAACTGTCGTAAACACTGTCTCTATATGTCAATTACGACAGTTATCACATAACTGTCGCAATTTTTGTGTCGTTAAACACTAATTTTCTTGTAGTGAGTTCTAAGAGTCTTGTGGTGAGAAAATGTTGATGAAAAGGGAGGGAAAATTTTGGGGTACAACAGTATGCCAACAATCCAAAAATCAAACAAATAGCTTGACCTAATACAAGACAAAAATGCATGAAAATCAATACACAATGCACACTTGCACCCCTAGGGTTACATCCACTTGCTGCCTTAAAAATGGGTCATGTTATGCATGTTAGGTACTTTGGCAAAACAAAACAAAGGATCATAGTCCCTCGATGACGCTATCTTGGTTGCCTAAACAAAATGATCAAGTCCCTCAAAAAATTTCTAAAGATACTTAACACAATTGCTATCATGGTCTATACGATGACCCGCGCATGTCCCGTTTAACATCCTAATACAAGGTTGTTTACCAAATTCAATGGTAAAACAACACTGTCAAAAGGGTTAAAAACATATAGGAAAGATCTTTGAGTAAAATAGGGTAGATAACTCTTAGTTACTTGATCAAAGCTTGCAAAACATCCTTGCTATTTTCAAACATATCTCACAACACAATTTCAAAATATTTTCCAAATCAAACTTTCAAAAGACATACATCTTTGTATACATTCAAACAAGAATCATTACAAAGGTTGCCACAACGATGGCCTCTTTTCAAAACATCTTTCAAAACCACACACAAAGCACCATTTCAAACAATTGAAAAGCAAAAGCAAGTGATCTAAACAAGTAACTAAGAGCCCATGGATAACCATGGATGAAAAGGGTGCTTGCACCTTCCCTTTTCATAATCTACTCCCCGAACCCAAGAAAACATCTCAAAGGTCTTTCCTGTGCTTTTTGACCTTTCCTTAGGATAAAATAAAAAGTCGGTGGCGACTCTTGCTAAACCGAAACATTTGCGAACACAAAACGCAAAACCTCAAGTCAGTTCTCCCACCATATCACAGATGTGTCGTGACTCGTGATATAATATGTCAGATTTAATATAAGATAAAACTTAGGTACAATTCTTTAGGTGTGGTTCTTATTATTTTCCAATGAAAATATGATAAGTGTATAATTTCCTCTTACACATATGCAAATTGCTCCTATTTTCACTCTTTAAATGATATTTAAGTATATTTGTCATATTTTCATTAGAAAATGGTAAGAACCGCACTTAAAGAATTGTACCTAAGTTTTGTCCTTTAATATATTATATAGAATGAATATCAAAAATATATTCTTAAATGGATTTATTACTTAAAAGAGGTTAATGTGAAACACCCACGCCTAGCTTTTAGGACATTAAGTATCCTTAATATGTTTTTTAAATTAAAGAAATTAATGTATGATCTTAAACAAGCTCCTAAAACTTAGTTATTTTTTGTAGTCTTGCACTTTATTATTTTTGTTGTATTGTACTTCCTCATCTAATTCATATTAAATCTTAGAAGTCGATCAATTGTTATTCAATGCAATACTACCATCTTATTTCGATCATTTTTTTATAGTTTGGCGCATTACATTGGGTGTTTTTATCGCACCATGGAATAAATTACACACATGAAAGAAGCGAGCCTCGAAGTCAAGAAGAATGCAAAGTCCATTGAGCCAAGTTAAGTAAATTTACATGCACTAATCTAGAGTTTGGAAGGTGTGAATGATGCTCGATTCAAGAGGATGGAGAGGATGCAAATGACGAACAAGTCAAATTTCGGCCAAATCAACTCTACATTGGCATAGTTATTGCAATGGCTACAAACAACTATAAATTCTCACCATGGTGGTGTTAACTCAAGCAAGGATCACAATAAAAATTTGTTTTAGATAAGAACTATTAAATAGATTTTCCTAGATTTGATGGTAAGAATGTCGTGGATTGGATTTTTAAGGCTGGATAATTATTTGAGTATTGTGACACACCACGTCGTGATAGATAGATAATTGCATCAGTGTATTTGGATCATGTGATAGTTCCATGACACTAAGTGATTCAGAAGACTGGACCATTTCAACAGGGTCGACCCTGGGTTAGGATAATCAAGCCCACAACCCAAGACCTCAAAAAACAATGGGGCCTCAAATTATGACGTCTTGGGCTTTATAAATTAAATAGAAAAATTTGTATATATAATATGTAATGAAAATAATAATCACGTTATAATTGAAGCCTAACGTGTGGTTGTAGTTATTATTAACACAAGAGGTCTATGTTCAATTCTTGGCTCTTTCATTTTTTTTTCAAAAAAGAACCGTGAATGTATGCAGCCATATATTTTTTTATTTTTTTATTTTTTTTTAAAGTAATCCTAAATATTAACCTAATAAAAAATTTACATCTTTCTCAAAAATAAAAGGGAAAATTGTGACTTTCTCTTCCCTTTCTCTCTCTCTCTCTCAAACAAAAAGGAAAAATAGAACAATAAAATCAAAATTCGAGGTTAGTTGCTCAATTTTTTTCCTTTCTTAATTGGTAATTTTTTTTTCTTATTTATTGTTTATTGTTTAATTTGTATAAATTCTTCTTACAAATTGATATTAAAATTTATTTGGTATGATGGTGTTTGTTATAGTAGAAGATTATTTTGATATAAATTCTTCATTAATTAAAAGTAACCGTGAAGAATTTATTTTTAATATCACACACGATTAGCCCTATTATAAAAATATTTGATTTACTATTTTAAAAAAATTTACTTTTAAATGAAAATTAATTTTGAGGTACTATATTATAAAACCTTGTTTTTGTACATCTATAGTTGTTTTATTGTTATAATAGTTATTGTCATTTATGTTTTGTTTTGATACTTTACTATTGATACTTGTTTATTTGAATTTCAAGTAAATGTTAACTTTATTTACTAATTATTTCTTTTTTTATTTGTCAGTTCAACTTCAACGCTGCTAAATTTATCGGTTCAAGTTCAATTTTGTAGAATTAATCAACTTTAATTTCAACTTCTAAATTTATTTTCATTATTCCTCCATGACTCCTAAATTGCCTCCTAAGATTAGAAAGTTTGATTTTGTATGTGAGAAGCGTAAGAAAAAGAAAAGACTTGATGAGTTAACTCAATCTCAATCAGGAGCTCTTGATAAATTTATTATAAAAGAATCACAAATTTCTGATGAAAATCATAATGCTGATGTTGGAATTATTGAAAATATGGTTTCGATTTAAAATATAGAGAAAAATGTTAATGTTAATGTTAATGCTACCAAAAATGATAACTTAGATGTTGAAAGTATGGAGGAAAATGTAATGTTAATGCTATTCATAATGATGATTTAGATGTTGAAAATGTTGATGCTGAAAATCTTGATAATGCTAATGTTAATGCTAATGACAATGGTGAAGATGTAGATATATTTGATCCAAAAATATGAGATTTTTTTGAGTCTGGAATGATTGATTTATTGGCAACAAAAGATCCTAAAAGAGATTTGTCTATTGTGAAGAGTGCTAAAGACAAATCATCTAGACTTTTTACGGCTAATTTGTATACTAGAGTTTTATCAAATGGAGAGAAACGCGATAGAGATTGACTTGTTTATTCAAATAAGTTTGATAGAGTGTTTTCTTTTTGTTGTAAAGTTTTTAAAAGAGGGACTAGTAGAGGTCAATTAGCAAATGAGAGTTTTTGTACTTGGAAACATGTTGGTGAAAGACTTAGAGAGCATGAGACATACATGGAACATGTTCACAATATGATTATTTGGTATGAGTTACGTAGAAGAATGCAAAATTTCCAAACTATTGATAAAATAACTCAAAGGTTGATTGAGAAAGAAAATGAACACTAGAAAAATGTTTTAAAAAGAATTATTTCATTAGTGAAATTTCTTGTTAAACATAATTTGCCCTTTCATGGTTCTAATGAGAGATTGTACCAAAATAGCAATGAAATTTTTTAAGGAAATATAAATGTTAGCTGAAGTTGACCTAATTGTCCAAGAACATGTTAGACGTATTACAAATGATAATGTTCATGTTCACTTTCTTGGGCATAAAATTCAAAATCAATTAATACTTTTGCTTGCTTCTGTAATTAAAAATGAAATCATTAGAAAAATTAAACAAGCAAAGTATTTTTCAGTGATAGTTGATTGTACTCCTGATGTTAGTCACTAAGAGAAAATGTCTTTGATAATATGATATGTAGATCTTTCTTCAAATTCTGTTAGTGTTGAAGATTTTTTTTTAGAATTTTTGAATGTGAGTAATACTACTGATCAAGGTCTTTTTGATGTTTTACAAGATGAATCAAAAAATATTAATCTTAACATATTTGATGTGTGGGAACAAGGTTATAATAATGAGTCAAATATAAAAATAAAAAAAACATTATGATGTATAAAATAAATTTTTAGACATAAATCCAAAACCTTTTTATATTCTTTATGCTTGTCAGAATCTTAATTTAACATTATGTGATACGACTAACTCATATATTAACATTACCCTTAATGATCTCTTCCAACAATCTTTTTCATTAATATATTGGGTGAACTTTTGGCCACATGCTTAAAAAATAATCGATAACTATCAACAAAATGTGTCATTGGTAAATAATCAAGTACTATCATTAGTAGTTTACTACAATAGATTTAAATATATTCTGAAGTCTTCACTTGAGAGATAAAATTGGTGTTGTTAGCTTTTTATTTTATTCCTTACTCTGTTTTATTTTCCTCTCTTTTTTATCTATTTTTCATTTTAGAATTCATACCCATGCTTTGCTTTACACTTTCTTTTCACTATCATTTGTCTTTTGTTTTTAGCAATATTGTAAGAATATGTTGGAACCAAATATTATGCGGAGCATGAAAAAGTTTGTGTGTTCTTAGCTAATTCAGTTTGTAAGTTTGAACAAGGATCAAATTAAAAAAAGAATAAATATGTTGATAAGGTGAAATATTTTTCATTGAATTAAGATGATGGTTATATATAAGAGATTTTCAACAACCATGATTCTATTCATGTTGAATTGTTTTAATTTACGGATGACACTATCTTGATCGGAGAAGGTTTTTGGAAGAATTTATGGTTCATCAAAGCCTTGCTTAGAGGTTTTAAGTTGATGTTGGATCTTCGAGTGAATTGGTCCAAAAGTAAATTATTTGGTATCAATCTTCATTATGATTTCTTACCGGCAATCACCACTTCTTTTTTGTCTTGCAGTTTTAGTTCGATTCCCTTTTTGTTTTTTTGACATTCTCATTAGTATTAATCCTCGAAGAAAAGATTATTGGGTGTCTATTGTTCCAAAATTAGAATGAGGTTGCCAGTGTGACATCATAAATTTTTGTCTATTGGAGGTAGAATGATTCTTCTAAATTTTGTTTTATCCAACATTCTCATCCTTTTCTTTTCTTTGTATAAGGCTCTTAGTTGATCTCATGATTAAGTCACACTTAACATTTCATTAAACATACTAGCTATTATGGGGACTTTATCATTTTGGAAAAGCAAACATAATAAAGAAATGTCTTTTATTATTAATAGATAATTCGATATAAGTACCAAAACTATTGGTCTCTAGGGCTTACACCAACACATCTTTCATCATACCACTTTATACTTGCGGCTGACACAAACACTCGGTGAAGGGAAGGTCAATCAGAATGAGGATTTCTAGATCGCAATAAGATTAATAGAATTCCAAACAATGATCTACCTCTGATTCTTGTGGTCATTATAGTTGGTCACAATCTAACCATATTACTTATAAACCACGGAAGTTCGTGTAACATCCTCTATTCAGATACTGTGGATCTAATACGAATACGACAAGCAAATATGAGCTCATATAATGAAAGAGATCTACTAGCATTCAACGGTTTGATCACTCATCCTCAAAGAGCTATGGATCTAGTAGTGAATGTTAGGGAACGAGACTGTGAAAGAAAAATGATCCTCAATTTTCTAATAATATCGTTGTAGCGATAAAAAATGTAGCGGGGTAAATCGGAGATCGAATTATTGATTAATTCGTCTCACAAAAGCAAGAGTCGCCACCGCGCTTTATTGTTTCCAAAGGAAAAGGGAAAAGAGCGAAATAAAACCCTAAATATGCAATGTAACTAAAAATACAAATGCAAAGCGTTTTTGAAAAGAGATCTTATGGTTCGGGGGTTGGTTATACAATGGGAAGGTATTAGCACCCAATGCATCTATAGTACTCTATAGGAACCTTTTGAAATATCTGTTTTATTTAAAATTGATTTGCTTGATCGAAAATAAGTCGTTTTGGCCGAAAAAGGGATACGGACGGGTTTTTGAAGATGCGACAACCTAACGTTGAAGTTTTTGACTTAAAAGGTGTGAGTTTTGGAGAAATCGGATATTTGGAAAAATTATCTTAAGTTTTTAATGAATGAGAGTATTCGCTCGATCGCTTTTTGAAGACATGAAGTCAACAAAAATTAGACAATTCCCTTTGGATTGGCACAAACAGAATAATCAAGTACAATGAAATAATTGACAGAAAATGATACACAACGATTAAATGTGAACATGCATTTTATATGATTTTGTTTAATATGCGAAAAGAAAAAGTTTTAATTGGTTTTCATTTTTTACGCGTTTTTAATAATAAAAGGTAATGAGAGTTAATAGAAATGTTTTTTAATGTTTTTATATATTTCTATTTTTTAGGTCTTTTTGTATATTGATATTTAATCAAACTGAGGGGAATAAAATAAAATGTCTTTTGGTTTTCTCATTTTATATGTTTTTTAGAAATATTAAATATTTGTTTCAAATTAAATAAAACTTACGAGCCATGAATTTAAATTGAATTAGAAAAAAAAAAAGTAAGACTAAAATTATTAAATAACATAAATTTAAACTAAATAAGATTTGGGTGAAATATTAAAATGATCTATTAAAATTATATGTTATTTCTAAGAAACTAATTAATTAAAATTAAAATAGGTTAAGAAAAAGAATAGAATTAAACTAAAAGTTTATAAAAGATGGGGGGTGGATTAGCAAATAGAATAGGCTTAAGTGTAAGAAAAGAATGGGCTTAAGTAAACAAGGAAATGAGTTGGGTGAGGGGAAAAGGAGCGGTTGGGAGGAAATGGGCCGGGTCGGGAAGACCCAGACCCAAAAGATGAGACACAAAGCTTGTACGAAAAACCTAAGAAGGTTGAGCCATGGCCGCCGCGGATCTCTCTTTCACCTTGTTCCGATCCACTTCGTTTCTTCTTGTAAACCTCCTAGTTAAGCCTTTAAAGGTCCAACTATTTTCCAATTCTTTCCTTTAAAGCGTTCAACAGCCTTCCGCAAAATTTCAACCTCCTCAGCTGTCGGATTTGATCACTCAAATCATTAACGTCATCCTCCTTTATTTCATTGATAACAGGCTCATTTTGAATGGATCTTACTCGCTGTCCAAATCTTAGTGTGCGTAGTGTTTCACCATTATTCTTGTTATCTGGGTAGATGGAACAGATTACTGAGAGTTTGGCATTTCCACCCAGGGATTCATGTAATAAGCGCGTTAAACAGGAGTTTTTGTTTGGAACTTCAGCTTTTCCTGAGCTAGTTTCTTTAGTCAAAGCATCTACGACGTGCCCAAGCTGAGATAAAGATTTCTTTACATTTTTGGTTTGTATTTGAGTCAAAAACCGAATCAAATTTAAACTGCCTATCCCCAACACACAAGGTATCAGAAGAAACCTTCTTAACAGTTTCATCTCCAATTCGGATGTTACTGGTAGGTCTAATTCGCACTACAACCTTCACCGATGGGTCGGTTTCAAGCGGAGTTGAAATAGAGGTTTTAGAGATCGATTGTTTGGTTGTGAGAGGCAAAGTTTGGAGGTCGCGGCGAGTTGCGGTTCTTAAAGCTTTTATCACAGTTGGATGAAGTCCAGCACGGGGAAGATCAACAAGAAACAGCTGAATGCCTAGCTGAGGAAGCATTGGTTAGGAGGAGCAAAGGTAACATTTCATGTTTAATCATTCGATTCGATTGATTCGTCATACTTAGCTGAATAGTAGAATGCCAGAATAGTTAGCAAAAAAAAATTTGTATACCAAAGTTTGTTATAGAAATCTTACTGATACAACCTTGAAAGTTTTGTTTCTTAGTCTAGTAGATTCATGGGAGTATATTTGTGGCATATTAATTTTTAGGAATTTTACATGTAATCTGATTATCTTCCTGTGAAGTGTAAAGCAAGCTTGCAACTTACGCTGGGAGGAACAGACTGACCTCCATGCCGTCATACAAGAGCTCGACCTAAACTATCAACCGCGTTAGTCCAATTCTTGTATGTATTTCACTGAGTTACCTCATTGGGGTCACTAGTTCACTGGTGGAACCGAACCGAACTAATCTGTTACACCGGTGGAACTTTCGTTTTGAATCATTGAAGAATAAGAATGACTTTCCTCGGGTAACATGATCATTTCTATCAAGCCATCATTATCCTTTTCTCTCTGATGTTGCCTCGAAACGATGATAACAAGGAGAAAGAGCGAGTAGACTTTTGAGGAGCTGCGTTGGTTCGAATGAGTAATTGAAAAGGTTTGCGAGTTTTCTATATTTTTTTACACGTTGGTTTTAAATTAACAGTGCTTATGTGATTGTGCCGGTTTTGCAATATTATGAATCTTGAATTTCATCAATCAAATTATTGTCGGCGTTAAAATAGGGATTTAATGTATTGATGATTAGCAATGATATTAAATAGCCGTTTTACATGATTTCAGGAAATTAAAGAGAGTATTAAGTGAGACAAAGGCAACGCAACGGTATGAAGGATTATGCGAAAAACTGAAGAAAAACTCACATGGTCGGAGCTAGTCCGACGGTACGATTCCGGCGAAGTCAGGTAAGCTCCGAAGACTCCTCGCTCCTTGCTTTCTGCCATTAATTCTTCTCTCCTTCTCTGTCTAAAAGAACTGGTTGAAATATGAATGAATGGTTTTTTTTTTGGATTATTCGGTTTGGGCTTGGCCAAGCTTGAGGTTGTGACTTTGCTTATGCTGAACTGAGTTGTCTATTTTCTGGACAGTAGTGGGTTTAGGTTCAGCAGGTAGCAAGTTTGGTGCAGGTTCTGGCTTAGGCAAGCGCAAGCTTAATGCTTCAGCACGTTATGGCTTGAGTTTGGTTAAGGATGTATTCTGGTTTTAGCCAATGCAGGTTCTGAGTTTGTAGTTATGGAAAGGTTTGAACTTGTGTGTTTTATGCTGGTATGAGGTTTTTTGAATGTCTTATGCTAGACAGAATGGTTTTGAATATGCAGAATGAAATATGCAGGTTAGAAAAAATGCAGTATGCAATATGGTTTGGCCATATATTATTTTGCTTGGCTTAGTTTTGCAGTAATGTTCCTCCTCCTCTGATATGCTAGCTTGGACTTCCTTTTGAAGGGGTCCCTTTCTCATAGCCGTTGCCTTCTATTCTCATGGCTCAGGTTTTGAATATTTAATATATTTTTCTGATGTTCTGCACAAATGCTGCTGCATATGGTTGACTTTATTCCCAATTCATGCTTAAAGCAAAACCTGCAAAAACTAAACCTCTTCTTCTCTCTACCTTAAGTACAAAACTGATATATGAAAATGATATTTTGTACTGCTGTATTCTGAAAAAGCAGGCTGGAAGATGATGAAAAAAAAGGAAAACACTTGCTTGCACACATTGATTTAAGCTGCATATTACTCTTTGTCTTGCATGGGAGCCTAATTTTTTGGACTCTTCTCAAGTTGTTGCATAGGTTCACGTTGCCTTTTGAACAATGCATGCTTATGCATATGCTGTTACTTTGTATGCTGTGTGTTTTTTTGAAATATGCATTGGATTTTTGGAAAATGCAATTAATTTTAAATATGCAGCTTTGAAAAATAAAAATGAATTTGTGCATGTTTTAAACTGTGCATTCATTTATGAAACAAAAATTCCTCCCTTTTTTGTGAACCGGGAGAAATCCCGTGATTTGCAAAAAAAGGGTAAACTGATTCCAGTCGCCTGCTTTTAATGATGAACATTGAATTTATTTTTCTGCATTTTAATTATTTTTTCGAATTCTAATTTCTTTCTTTTTGATCGTTTTTTGCAGGTAAAATTTAAATGAGCAGACAAAGAGTATTGGACAGAAGATTAGAATTAGAATTTAGAAAAATAGTTTTATTTTACTTTAAGCATTTATGTAATGGTTATTATAAATACTTTGTACAATAGTATTTAAACAACAATTGTAATAAATAGAATAAAGTGAATAAAAATTCTATTATTTCCCAATTAATTCCTTTTCTTTCCAATTATTTATTTATTGTTTATAATTCCTTAATCATATAATGATTGAAAATCAAATCCAAACATTTAAATTCAGAATGACAAACAAATAAATAAACATCATTGACTAATCAACAAATTCAACTATTTAATTCATTATTCGTAAAATTCCAAATTATAATAATTAAAAATAGAATTTTAATTATTTAATCTAAAATGATAAAGAATTAAATAATCATTGTTGACCAATTAATAAACTCATTCTCAAATGCTTATTTCATTATTCATAAGTCTTTAAATTATATAACAATTGAAAAATAGATTCCAATTATTTAAATTTAAGCTAATAAATAATTAATAAACGTCATTTAAATCTTGATCAGTTAATAAATTTAGCGTTCAACAAATAAACAGCTCCCGACTCGAAAAAGTTATGAATTTTTAAACTGCTTTGAAAATTTGATAAAAATGGTCAAAACTCTTGCAATGCGAATGATGCAGATGGAAGACGGTATCTTAGGTCAAAATTTGGGGTACAACAGCTGCCCCTATTTAAGTTCCTTCTATCCGGAGATATGAAGATTTGAAATCTTCGTTTCGACGAGATTGAAGGTACTTAAATACATAACTACGCAAATTTTGTCCTATGATGCCGTCATCATGCAGTGATATGAATGTAGTGCATGAATTCACAGAGAAAGATATTGTGTGAAACAAGACAATGTTGGGGGAATCGAACACCAACAAAGCACAGCGGTTCGGATTATACACTACCGGGGAAAACGAGCTATCGACTTCAAACGACAGACTCCTGACAGCGAATAAAACTGAGGGAATACGACCTCTATCCCTAACGAAGAGAGTATCTTGCATAGGCCATAACAGATTTGATCCAAAACAGTGAGTTCGCAACTCAAGGTCGACGGTAGACAGAGAGTATCAAATTGCTGATAACAGATTACCGACTTCTGGAGGTACAGATTCGTAACAGACTTCCCTGTTAGATCTTCAGAGATACTCGTGAATGCTGAGGTAATAAGACTGTAGATACGAAGGTTGTTCAAATAAAGAAAAATGCCACTGGCCATCCATGGGTGTCAATAACATACAAGTTGCTCAAATAAAGAAGCTGCCACTTGCTGTTTTCCAAAAAACTAACAACGCGCAAGTTGCTCAAATAAAGAGACCGCCGCCTGCCGTTGTCCAAAGAAAATACCGATAACACACAAGCTGCCCAAATAAAGAAGCTACCACTTGCTGTCGTCCAGGAGAAAATACCGATAACACACAAGCTGCCCAAATAAAGAAGCTACCACTTGCTGTCGTCCAGGAGAAAATACCGATAACACACAAGCTGCCCAAATAAAGAAGCTGCCACTTGCTGTCGTCCAGGAGAAAATACCGATAACACACAAGCTGCCCAAATAAAGAAGCTGCCACTTGCTGTCGTCCAGAAGAAAATACTGATAACATACAAGCTGCTCAAATAAAGAGGCTACCACTTGCTGTATTCCCGAAAAGTAATAATGTACTGGTAACTCATGAAGAGTTTGCTGCTTGTTGCTTTCAGAAAAAAGTAAATGACGCACTAGTAGTTCATGAAGAACTACTGCTCGGCGCTTCCCAAAAAGGATAAAATGACGCACTAGTAGCTCATGAAGAACTGCTGGCGTTTTCACAAAGTCATAACTGACGCACTAGTAGCTCATGAAGAACTGCTGCTCGGCGCTTTCACAAAGTCATAACTGACGCACTAGTAGCTCATGAAGAACTGCTGCTCGGCGCTTTCACAAAGTCATAACTGACGCACTAGTAGCTCATGAAGAACTGCTGCTCGGCGCTTTCGAAAAGATAAAAATGACGCACTAGTAGCTCATGAAGAACTGCTGCTCGGCGCTTTCGAAAAGAATAAAAATGACGCACTAGTAGCTCATGAAGAACTGCTGCTCGGCGCTTTCAAAAGAAGTAAATAACGCACTAGTAGCTCGTGAAGAACTGCTGCTCGGCGCTTTCGAAAAAGTAATGTACAAGTTGCTCGTGAAGAGCTACCGCTTGTCGTTTTCCAACATAATTCAGAAGGAAACTGCGATGATATTGGCAGAGAATAAAATCTTCATCAAAGAGAACCCTGAATCAAATCCTTCCCGAGGAGATCATCCATTTTAATGTGCAAAATAAATGCACCAACCGTCTAGGTCGCAATTTCACTGGGGAAAATCAAAGAGTATAGCCTATGCAAGAGGCAGCCACTTCATCCAGGAATAACCAGAGAGAAAACAATCAAACAAGACTCCTCCCAATGAGAAAGTAAATCGATTGGGGAAATTATCCTATCCAGAAATGGACAAGGTAAGCTAAATCAAAAATTACCCACGAGGATTAGCTCAGTTGGGGAATTAGAAAGGAGGCACATTTTATGCTTAAATCGGCACTCTATTTGGAAAGATCAAATACGTTATTTGAAAAGACACAACCAAGATGTACGAATTTAAAGACAACAACAAATACAACTGTGCGTGCATGATGCAAGTGTGAATGAATGTCATGTGTATGCTGACAAAACGACAGGGGAGATGGACAATAGATGACAAGGCATCACAGTACAACCCGACACTCGGCTAAACTCAACAGGAGGGGAACATCACTGGAGAAAGAAGACAAAAGCCAACAACGTTGTAAA